CTCTCTCTCTCTCTCTCTCTCTCTCCCAATGATTTCCTCACAGTCTCTGACGTAGTGAACGAACGAACGAAACAAACGTATGAATAATCTGTTGAAAAACATGTGAAGAGTTTAACACTATTTGCAGACAAACTATGCATTCAGTAAACTATGGGATGTCTGTGAGAGAAGATTGCATTCGTGTTGTGTCTCATATTTACCACTATTTTTAAATGTGTTTTGTATACAGTATTCATTTGATTTACTTATAATTTTACAATCTATTAAATATAACTAAAACATTGGTCTAAAGAGTAAGTAATTTTATTTATTAACTCAACAAAAATTTTCAAACTTGTTCTAACTTTATATAATACTAATACACTAAGGACTAAAACTTTTTTGACAATACATTATCAATGAATAATACTGTATTTTGTTCATTATTGTTAATTTTATTCTTAAACTTTTCCCTCATAAATAATTAATTGTAATGTCATAATTGTTGCTATAAGATTTCAATACAAGTCATTTGCATGCTTATTTAATTCTGTATAATTATATTTAAAAAGTTATATTGTATATCCAAATTTTCATGATTTAAAAATTTTTTAAAAAATATACAGCAAGTGATGTCAGAATATCGTTTCTGTCGTGTTTGTGGCGGTAATAACAGGGATAACCCGGCCCTTAGACTTGGTATTATAAATATCATATTCGTAACAACATTCTCTTTAATTATTTATTAATTACTAAATTTATAATAATATTTCGATAAATAGGTGAGAATTATGTGTCCAAAGGGAGCGGTGTCTACACGTGTGAAAAGGACAGGCAATGGTTTTATAAAAATGCTAAATTAACGGTAAATTCTGTTGAATTTAATACAAAACTAAATTTAGCTATTAATTCACACATATATTAACATATATTATATTTTATGAAAATAATAGAAAGTTTGTCCAAAAGGGGAAATGGATGCAAACGCCCCGGAAAATTGTGATATAAGTGTGTGCCCCGCCTGTAAGCTACACAAGTGCTACAGAATAGGATTGAAACTCGTAAGCTAGGTCAGTTTAATTGAGACTATAATTAATAACTTTTATAATACCATACGTAGAAACCTCAAAACAGCGCCAATTGTACTACAAATGGTGACCCGGCTCATGCATACCTTCAGCCCAATACTCCAATTGCAAACAATGGCCACAATTTTGTCGTAAATTCAAACTTAACACCGACTGTGGGTCCAAACAACCAGATACTACAACCAGTTGCCGGTCCCTCGACTACAGTTCCTTCAAATACCAATATTATGGGCTCATATCCAGAAAGTGTTAATACGGAAAATGATTTATTAGCGCAACTGTTAGATATGACGGACATTGAGATGATGCTTACTGACGAGATGGGAGACACAGGGATAGAGAATCTGAATCCCAATCAAGACTTCACTCAACAATCACCGCAAACATCAGTCCATAATACAATGGCAGTTGAATCCTATCAGGGAGCACCAGTAGCTCAGGCGGCAACTTCTGGATCCACTCAAACCATTGCACACAATAATACAATTGCGAGACAAACTGACACTTCCGATGATCATACCATCGATGATATGATTTTCACATTTATTAACAAAATTAACCTGGGATTGGTTCCCACTAGTGGCGATCCCTTATTAGGCAAAATGAAAGTAAGCAAGCTTATATTAATTAATAAATAATCTTAACGTTAATTTCATTAGAATTTTATAAACTCTTAAACTTTTTAATATAAATAATGCTTACATTTACAGCACATTCAAGTGAATGAGAACCACAACAAAATAATGGTCGAACAGATTAGGTGCGAGTTGAAACAGCCAGGTAGATTGACACAGTTCCTGGATGCCACTGGATTGCACCGGGAAGCCATTGGTATGGCTGAGATGTTCCGTACGGAGGAGCCGTGGCCTTACACTAATGGCTGGGATTTAAAGGTTATAAACGCGTCAATACTTCGATCCGGAAGTTCCAAATACTTTTCAATGGACTCGAGTCCCAGGGGTCGGGCTATTGTTTTTGTGACCGTTGATGGCCTGGACGTCGAGATAATGAGATGGAAATCCATTTTCGGACAGTTGGGCTTCCAATACGACGTGTATCGAGAGGCCACGTGCTCTCAGATATTGGATGTGCTGTTGGGGGTGTCGTGTCAGCGGTTTGATGCCGACGCCCTCCTCGTCATGTTTATTGGCGGCGGTTATGACGAGAAGATCCGCGGATACAGCGATCGGCCGGACATGTCGTTCACAGATATTGCCGACATATTTTCCGACAGTAAATGTGTTTCTCTACGAAATAAACCGAAAATATTTGTTTTCAACACTTTCTCTATTGGTTTGTATTTGTATTTTACTTTTTGGAGAGAGAGAGAGAGAGAGAGAGAGAGAGAGAGATTTAACTTTAATTAGATTGATAAATTATTTCTATATTATTCATGACAATAGGCAGTGCTACACAACAAATGGAAACTAATGAACAGATTAAGAATGCAAACATGAATTTTACGCGTAATCCCCGCACTTATGTCATTAACACACACTCTAAATGTAAGACTAATTTACATTGAAATGCTATTTTATTCTCAAATATTATAAAATCTCAATTAATATGATTTATTTGAATCCACTTTAGCTATGGATTTGTGGCGTAACCCCATGGAAGATATAACCCAATTTGGACAGGCATTCAGTTATACGATCGCACAGTACGCCTGTAAAAAGCATTTGACTGATTTAGTGGAAATGGTATGTCACGTTTGAATTGTTATTTGATACTGAAATTGTATTTAAAATTTGAAATATTTAATAGACAAACAAACGGCTTGTATCTGAGCAACGTGATAATGAGAACCAAAAAATTATGGTGGCCGCACTCGATATGACACGAGATATATATTTTAATCCGGGTCTTTATAAGAGGCAAATAAATGTCAATTAAAAATTTACTTTAGTTTCAAATTCTGTATTATATGATTATAATTATAATTATGATTAAAAATTGTTCACAAAATTATTGTTTGAAATCTATTGAAATCTAATGTCTCAAACCATGTAATAAATATTAGTAAAACAACTTTTAAAACTAAACTTTAGCTAGAGCATATTATACTTGACACACATACTGTATGTTGGGGAATTCTAGCTAAATTCACATTTTACCATTTATAGCAATTATGAGCTAGCATGTATTAAAAGAGCCATTTGCTCAATTAATTGAAACTCATGTGTAATAAAAAGCCGTAAATTGGATACTTGATAGCATCAGAACTCTAAACTTATATTATATTTTGTTTAATTGTAATTAAGATTATTTTCCTAATTGTATATTTATTTTTTAAATATTGAAATATATTAACGGTGTCCACAGATATTTGCTATAATATGTCCCTAAATATATACAGTGCTTAAATTTGGAATTGTTTACAGTTAACATTTTATTTACGAGTTTACTTCAAACGAGTTTATTATGTCATAAAAATTCTCTCTCTCTCTCTCTCTCTCTCTCTCTCTCTCCTGATGTGACGTAATGAACGAACGAACGCGAGAATGAATGATAAATCTGTAGACAAATGTGTGATAAAACTATGCGTTCAGTCAGTCATAGTAAGTCTTCGAGAATGAGTTGCATTCGTGTTGTGTCTCGTATTCACATATAAATGGCAAAAGTTTTGTAAATACTTCTCATTTGATTTAAGTATACATTTGACAGTTCACTAATACACTTGTTTTAATTGTAAATAATAAATGAACGTATAATTAAGAAATTAAGGGAATTAACTACAATAATTTATATATTAGTAAATTAAATAATATAAAACATCAATAATAATAATAATTCATAACATGTAATAAAGTTATCAATTTGAACTGCAAGAGATGACAGAATATCGTGAATGTGGTGTTTGTGGTATAAATAGCATAAATAACCCTACTAAGAAACTTGGTAAATTTTAGAATTTTTAAAAAATTAACAAACTATTAATTTTTCAAACATGATCATATTAATTTAATAATTATTTTGATACAAAGGTGAGAATTATGTACTCCCAGGGAGTGGTATCTACACGTGTGAGGCCGATAGGCAGTGGTTTTATAGAAATGCCAAATTCGCAGTAAGTTTATATAATTTGTATTTAATGTAATCTAGTTAACAATTAATTCAATTATGACATTAATTTTTTGATTGAAAAGCATAACTATTTATACCTAAAATTAGTGAATCTACAAATTATTTAGTATGTTAGCTCATACTATTACATCAAATTAATTAATCTTTAATTGCTTGATATAACAGACAGTATGTCAACGGACTGAAAACGGTGCGCCCGATATGGCAATATGTACTTGCTCATCCGATAAACTTCATAAGTGTTTTAGCATCGGAATGAGATATGTAAGCAATGGGTGTTTAATTGAAATATTAATAATACATTTAATGAATGAATGCATTCATAGGAATACAATACACAAGATATGCCACAAAACAGCGCCAGACGTACCAAACGGCACAGAAGTAACACAACCCAAGGGACAGGGTTTGTGCCAAATCAGGGCTATAATTATAACCTCGGCACTGACCACTACTCGGGTCATCCGCCAACAAATACAAGCGCTATACAACAAATTAATGGTGGCAATACATACCCGGCGCAGGTACACTCACAGCAATTTAATGTATACAATCAAGGAATAAATGCGAGTGAAATGCACACCTCGACATCAACACAAGTATTAGCTAACACTTCGATGACAGTTGCGGCTAATAATGGTAATCTAGGCCTCAATAGACTGCAAACAAACAATACGATAACCACTCCAACAAACAGTTCATTAGATAACAGGATCGATGACATGGTTTTTACATTTGTTAATAAGATTGACCTTGGTCAGATGAACACTACAGGGGATCCATTATTAGATGAAATGAAAGTACTTACAATTTTAAATTAAACGTCAAGTGCTTATTAATTTATTTAAAAATATGATTACCTTGATAGAAAATCCAACAAAACGAGCATGAAAATAAGTGTCGTATTCAGCATATTAGGAATGTGTTAAAGGACCCAGTTAGAATGAAACAGTTCCTGGATAACACGGGCACTCACCAGTTGGCTAATGAACTAGTGGAAATGTTCAAAATGGACTACCCCTGGCCATATCGCACTGACCTACCAGAATTACCTGTAGTACGGGCATCGGAATTGAGATCTGGAAATACTCGATACTTTTTTATGGACTCCAATCCCAGGGGTCGGGCCATTGTGTTTATTAGCACCGATGGGCTGGACGGGGAGGCTGACAGATGGGAATCCATTTTGGGACAGTTAGGCTTCGAGAAAGACGTCTATAGAAAGGCCAAGTGTTCGCAGATAAGGGATGTGCTGTTAGGAGTGTCGGGTCAGCCCTTTGATGCCGATGCCCTGTTTGTGATGTTTATTGGCGGCGGTTATGACGAGAAGATCTGCGGATACGGAGGCAATGAGATGTCCTTTAAAGAAATTGTAGACATATTTTCCGACACTAATTGTGTGTCTCTGCGAAACAAACCGAAAATATTTGTTTTCAACACTTTCTCTATTGGTTTGTATTTTGGGTTTATATTGTGGAGAGAGAGAGAGAGAATTTTTATGACATAATAAACTCGTTTGAAGTAAACTCGTAAATAAAATGTTAACT